GCCAAGAGAATAAACAAATATGTCTTGGAGGAAGTACAGTGAGAACGGCCAGACTTCATATCCTGTACTTTGGACATGTTGTCAAGAGATGCCAGTCCTGGAGAAGGATATCCTGCTTGGTAATGTATTGAGACAGCTACAAGAGGAAGACCTTAGACAAGATGGATGGACACTGTGTTGAAGGTCATTAAGACTCAGCCTTGAAACGGCTGAGACAATATCAACCCAGGTGTCAGTATCTACTGTTTGCTTCTGCGGTTTGACATTGAGACTAAGAAAAAGAACAAGGACATATGCAAGTTCTGGGAAAACAGAATGTTTAATTTTTATCAAAGAATGCTTGCCTTGGCAGAATATAGAGTTGCTGATAAATTGTCAAAATAGATTAATTATAACCCCGGGTTGTTTCTGCATGTATAAAAGGAAGATGTAGAATAAATTCGGGGCTTCAGTATTCACTGCTGCCCTCCCAATACTTTCTGTCTCTTTTTCTTTTTTCTTTAATCCTCACTCCCCCTTTCAGGACTGTTCGACTCATTGGCAGGCTCCGACAACAGTGTCTGCACCAATAGGCTCAAAAATAAGAACAATTTAAAAAATAAATAAATAAGAACAATTGTGAGGATGTCACAACATCAGGCAGTGTTTCCTCCTCTTGTACACAGGGCCGCTATGGGACAGGACCAACTCAAGGGCACCTGACAACAACAGCGCCATCCTGAGCACTCACAGAACTGAAGTATGTAAACAGAAAGGTGTCACTTTGCCTTCTATTTCATCTTGGTGGATCAACAAAAACCTAGGCTTGATATGTTCCTAACCCTCAGTAAAGAGTTAAACCAACAAGCTAATTTATACATTTACACACAGTAAATTAAAGTTGCTGGCCAAATTTCATTGTTGGATGCCACCCACCTTGTGGATAAAGAATGAAACAATAGAATGGTCCTACACCATCCTTAGCATTTTTCCTGTTTGAGACCACTGTTGCAGCCACGCTGTCATTCCATATTGTTGCAAGTGTCCCTTTTTCCTGATCCTCTACCAAGCCTGATGTCCTTCTCCTAGGTTCTTGGTAATACATCCAAAGTAGATGACACGAAGCCTTGACATGCTCACATCTAGGGAGCATTCTAGCTGTATTCTTCCAAAATGGATTTGTCCAATGTTCTGGAAGTCCCCAATATATTCAATATTAATTGCCACCACAATTCAAATGTACCCATCTTCCAATCTACCTTATTCATTGTCCCCAAGCCCTGTAGCTGACTCATATTCACTGGGACTTAAAAAGTGGACAGTTACTTAAATGGAGTCCAAAAATATTGGCCATCAGTGAGGACAGGATGTTACACTGCTGAGTCCTCATTGTATACAGACGCTGTCCACATCCTAACCAACCCTACCACTACGTACCTGCAGGTGGTGGAGGATGGTGGGACTTTGCCAGCAGCTGAGAATGGAAGATTCACTGGCTGATATCCCAGGTGTTTCCCC